GCTGTCTGGAGCAGGTCTTCTGTCTGAATACTTCTCCTGCCTTCTCTGGGCATCTTGAGTTTCATTGAGGGTCCTAGACCTACGTGTCACTATGGGATCTTCCTTCTGTGTGGGCTGTAGGTCTGTCCTTCTTGTGGCCTGAAGACCTACTCCTTGTGTGGCTTGTGAGCATGCTTTCTGTGTTATCTGTTGGCCTGAACACCTTAGAACCTGAGAGTATGCCCTCCGGGGGGCTTGCGGTCCTCCTCCTGGGGTGGATTGTGAATCTGCCTGCCCTGAAGGTAATGGGACTACTGCTCGTGTGGGCTGTGGGTCTGTCCGCCCTAAAGGAAGTGATCCTTCTACTTGGATGGGCTGCAGCCCTGTTCCCCGTTTAGCCTGCTGGTTTGCCCCTGGTGTGGGTTGTCGGCCTGTCTCCTGTTTGGGCTGAGGACCTGCCCCAGGCACTTGGGTTCCAGCAGTGGCATGGCTGGGTGTTGACTTCTTAGGGACACAGGAATACCCACTCCCCTGAGCCTCCCTTGCCTTACCTGACTGGTTCCCAGCTTGGTTTTGGCTGCTCATGTCACCTGTGTGAGGTGAGGAGCTCCCAATCTCCCTATAGGAGAGAGGGGATTCAGGTGGGTTTGTTATGCAGTTTTGGAAGCCCCATACACAGAAGCCCAGAGTGCATGCCTCACAATTGGCTGTGTCATGAGACCCGTCCAAAGGCACCTCCGGGACCACCGGCATCTCAGAAAACTTCCTGATGCCGTCTCCGTAGTATCTCTCCTGAATACGCCGCACCAGGTTCTTCAAAATCCTCATGGTACTCTCTGGGGAGAACTCAGGCTTCTCAAATTGAGACTGGATACACCTCCGGCACCTCTGGGCAAAGAGTCGCATAAGCACCTGGCCCTGAGACTTCCGGGTTTCCAGGTACATGTGACATAGTATTTGCACTTGGGCGGAAGCCCAAAATCGCTTGCATGAGGAACACCGGAACCTAAAAAGAGAACAAAGAAGCCCATTGTTCCCTCTGCTGATTGGTTTCCTGAGGGAAATGATTGGTCTCTAAGATCCCTTTCAATTTAAGAAAGTGCATGTGATATTGATAAATTGTCAAATAGAAATGAGAGACTGTTTCAAATTAAGTTTTTTTCCTGTGACCCACTGAGCTTAGTTCCAATCTGCCTCTTTGCCAGTAAAACATTTTTAGGTGTCTCAGAGGGAAAAATATTTCTGCCATCTCTAGAAAAATTTGGCCCTCACAATGGTCACAGAAAACTCTTATAAAACCCTGGATAGTGCCGTATAAAACACCTTTTCTCCCCTATACACACACATCTATAATAAAGTGTAATTTCAAAATTAGACACAGAGATTAACCATAGTAACTAATAATAAAATAGAACAATTATAACAACACTCTCCAGTAACTTTTATATTTTTTTAGCCCAAACCTATTTCTGAATCTATGTAACCATCCCTTACTTTCAGGAAATGGCTTGGTGTCCTTCGTTTCAGGAATCCCTTGCTGAAGTCTTCTTTATAAGCTCAATGCTTTCCGGTGCAACATACAACACATTGCGGTCAATCAAAATATGTTTTCTGTTCTTGTTTTCCACCCACAAATGTAATGCCCTTTCCATCTGAAGTTAGCAGTTATCATATCCTGTGGTTATAAGTTTTGTAGTTTGAGGCGGGACAGTCAAACTAGTACAAATTTTCCTTCTTTACAATTTCGTGGACAGAAGATTCGTTCTTACCCTAGATCTTAGCAAGCTCGGCATACAATTTTTTTTTCCTTTCTCTATTAGGTCATGAACTTTTACTTTTTTACTTAAAGGAAGCACTTTACATTTTCTCTTTGGCATATCCAAATTGCCGAAGTCACTACTATTCTGCTTTGGAGCCATTATTAAGTGAAATAAGAGTTACTTGAATACAAGTGCTGCGATACCACGACAGTCAGTCTGGTAACTGAGAGGCCTGCTAAGTGACTAATGGGCAGGGAGGGTATTCAGTGTGCATAGGCTAAACAAAAAGACAATTCACCTCTCAGGCGGGTTGGAACAGAAATACATGAGATTTCATCATGAAACTCAGAATGGCACACAATTTAAAACTTATACATTTTTTTTTTTTCTGGAATTTTCCACTGAATATTTTAGATCTCAGTTGACTGCTGGCAACTGCAATGACAAAAAGTGAAACGACAGAGAAGAGGAAACTACTGTCCCTTTTTTGAGGCAGGCACTGTAATTGGTGCTTGACAATGTGGTACTATTTCAACTTTAAAGCCTCTCTCTGACACAGGCATCACTGAGGCCAAGGTCCATGTGAAAAAACTAAGTAATAACGGAATGCACAATTTGCTTGGGAATATACAAGGTAAGTAGTAGTAGAGTCATACTTCCGATCTTGGGCCATTTGAAACCGATCTTGTTTATCTACCTACTATACCACATCACCTCTAATGAGCAACGTGTAGTCTTGTACCTAGAGAAACCAACTTAGAACTTGGGGCCCTAATACTTGTGTTGGATACCCCAGTCCGTAGTTTACATCAGAGAAAAAGTACTTTTCTACTCTAAGCCTCAATTTTTATATCCATCAACTGAAAAATACTCAAGGATTATATTGTCATTATTAAATGAGATAGTGTATGTGAAAGCACTTTATAAACTACAAAATACTTTCCAAAAACTGGTTGATATTTTTCCTTCTGAGAAAGACTATTAAATCAATCCACTTGAACAAGAGAAGCACCTTCCTGTTTGAGGAGTGCCTCAAGGAGCTCTGGCTGGTGTGAAGAGAGGTATTTACACAACTCACTGGCTTACAAAACAGAACAGATTGACTGCTACATGGAACTCGGGCCAGTGCATTGAAAACTGTTCGGAAGATTCTGCTAAAAATATTATCTATAAATATATATGTTCCATATATGTGATATATAAACATACATGTATTATAAATAAATTAAATATAACATGTTAATATAACTATAATACATTCAAAATACAAAATATTTATATTAACATAAATTATATATATACAAACATACACACGCACACACACACACACATACATACATGCACACATGCAAGATCTTGTAGGAATTGGGAAGAAAGAACACTTATTTCGCCTAGGAAGACCAGAGAATGCTCTAAGGAGACAGTGGCACTGGAATTGGTTCTTGAAAGAAGAACAAGGAAAGAGGGAGAAAAGGGCCTGCCACACAGGCAGAAATCCTGGACAAGGGAATAGGAGTCTGAAAACGCATGCCATGGCTAATAATAATAATGCATGCCATGGAGCAAAGAGAATCAGACGCAGGATAGGGGCAGGTAGAGAAGCAGGATAACAGGTGCAATGGAAATCAGAGTGAAGGTCCCTGGGTACCATACTAAAAGAAAAGACTTAAGGAATATTACTCAGCCATAAGAAGAGATGAAATGCTGCCATTTGTGACAACCTGGATGGACCTAAGTGAAATAAGCCAGGCTGAAAAAGTTGTAAATCACATGATATCACGTATATGTGAGATATAAACCTAAAAGCAACAAATGAACAGGACAAACAGAGACTCAGGGACATGGACAATGGACTAGTGATTACCAGAGGGTAGGGGGTGGGGAAGGAGGGAAGAGGTAGACGGGGTAAAGGGGGTCAATTATAGGGGATTTGGGGGAGGGTGAAGTGGGTAAAGGGGATCAAATATATGGTAGCTAAAGGAAACTGAACTTTGGGTGGTAATCACACAATAGAATATATAGATGTCAAATTATAATGTACAGCTGAAAATTATATAATTGTATTAACCAATGTTACCCCCAATAAACTTAAAAAAAAAAAAAGACTTAATTGTTTAAGTCAGCAAATCTCACCCTCCTGACATGGGCAATGAAACTGGTTCCTGCAACTTGGAGGCTTGCCTGGGGTTAAAGGAGGAAAAGGACAGTAAGAAAGGGGCATTACTTAAGGGCTCCAGAAATTAAGTTTCCTTCTTGCATCATCCCCTCTTATTATCCATAGGCCTTCAGTAAAGTAATATTCAAAGTGATTGTGTGGTATTTGCCGATTCTTGGGGCTTTAAAGGAAGGCTCCAGCCCCAGGCTGGTACCTAGTAGGGCTAGCAGAGCTGCTATAACCTGGGGGAGCCCATCAGAACCAAGGGGGGAGATAGAGAAGATACTAGATAAAGGCAGTTTAGAACAAATAAAGTGATGAGGGAATAGAGGACAGATTTGTGGAACATGGAAGCATTCTTTGGAGATTTCCAGAAATATTTAGAGAAGAAACTTAAAAAATATATATTTAGAGAAGAAACTTAAAAAAAAAAAAAAAAGTAAGCAAAATGGAGGTTGGAGTCTTATTTAGATCCTGAAAAACACTGTGCCCACAAAAGGATGGAAAGCCTGGTGACAGTTATTCTTTTATCAAGCTCTCAAAAGAATCCATCAATGCTAAGCTGAGCCTCTGTGCCCAGGAAGGCCCAATTGCCAGGCAAATCCTCACCTACCTGCCAAATGCTCTCTGCTGGTATTGCTTCCACCCTTGGGCCACACAGTCTGGCCGAATATTCTTATCCAACTTCAGGGTCCATTTGGCCCTGGGTTTCACCTCCTGCATCAGTTCTTGAAATGTCTGCTCCCATGTCTCCACATTGGAAACAATTTTCTCCTGAGACTGAGAGTCCATGTTTAGTGCGTAGCTTTTAGTCTCTCTTGATGCCTAGCAAGAGAAAAAAAGCAGTTTCGGTTTCCGTGCCCTGATGTCAGCTCTTTTCTTTTTAACTTTCGTTTCAGATATTTGAATACACAGAACAAGTCTTTCTTCCGAGGACAGGGGGCAGCAGAGTTTTGCTGGTTTGTGAACATGCCTTGCTAAGAGACATCTGAGTACAGAGCTATTCTAAATTCACCGATAAGTTAGCTTTTACTTTAGTTTTCTATTTTCACACTAAGCAAAGAACTATGCTCTGCACTAGGGCACATACCGTTGACTAAGAAACAGTTCCTACCCCCACAGATGCTCACACCCTCATGCAGACACAGAGGGTGGGTAGGGGGAGCAAGTGTCCAGCACTCATCTCATGCACCTGATGAATCTTCACCACAGTTTTCTGAGTGGGATTATTACTATTATTTTGCAGGTGAGTGTTACATAGAGCTGGGGTTCCTTGATCAAAGCCACCCAGCTAGTAAGCAGCATAGGTGAGACTTGAACCGGGATCTGTGTGACTCCAAAACCTGTGAGGTCTCCACTCACCGCCCTCCCCGAGGAGAAGCTTAAAATGGTGTTTCACATTCCAGGCTGGCACTCTGGAGCCAGTGTGAGAGGAACCATCCTGAAAATCTGACCTAGTGGTTTGGTCTAGTGTGATCTCCTGGGTCCTGGGACAGGACACTAGACTGAATGAAAGGATTATTTAACTCTGTCATTCTCTGTGTAAATTATCTTGGGGGCAGTATACAAGCAGGTATGAGAACCATATTTTGGTGGTAAGATAGAGAGAATTCCCATTTGTGGGGTGAGGGATTAGGACTAGATGATCTTTAAAGTCACTTCTAACTTAAAGAGTCTGAGATTCTAGCAAGTGAGCTCTGTCCCTCTGGAGTTTTAATTCAAATGGAGGAGATAAGACAAACAGGACACTTATGTCCTTGGAAGCCCCACTACAGTTACCACATCCCAGATAGGATCAGCCTGTCTTCTCAGGCTTTTGAGACTTTAATGTGCTCTGTTTGGGAGGCAGAAACACCCTCCACTTCTGTCCTCCCTCCCAGGATAGTCTGTTCCGTACAAACTCTTTGCTCTCATAACTTTACACATTGAAGGCACCTATGTCTACACAGACAATATAGAAAACTCTTGTCTACATAATCATAGAAACTTGGAATTGGACCCACAGAATATTATAACTGGAACGCCTTTAGGAATAAACTTGTTCTCGTTTCCTCTGATTATTATACATAAGAAAACTGAGACGCAGAAGAAAGAGGTCTCCTGCTCAAGGTCACACAGCAAATTAGTGCCAGTACTGGATCAAAATCCAGACATCCTATGTTCGAGCTCCGAGCTCTGCTCATCTGCCCCAGTCACACATAGTCCCTTTTCCTGACCCTTTTTCTTCTACTTTCTCCTGGGTCTAAGAACCCAAGTTCATACTTTTTATCCTTTATCTTCAAAGCATGGCCATATACTCCACCTCCTCAAATGGCCTTTTTTCCCTGAAATGTAACCTTGACTGGTACATTGCACTCTCTGCCGATTTCCTTCTGCCTCTGCTTTGTGTTTTTCCTTTAACATACACACCTGCTTCAGGCCAGCCTGGACATGAACAGGTGACAGGGGAGACTAAGGGTATGATTTGAGATTTGCGGGCTGGAAGAAACCCGTTACCTTTCCCACCTGTACAAAGGAAAAGAAGAGAAGGAAATTACGGCTCTTTTAAAACCCCATGGATCCACCGTAAGCCACTTGTTCCTTTGTATATCCAGGATAATGGATTCATGGAATTCGATATTTAAAAGAGACCTTAGACAACATTTTGTAATCCCCTCCTCCCACGTCACTGAGAACCAAGGTGCGGAAGTGACTTACCCAAGTCACACAATGTGATGGTAGTGACCTTTAGGTTTTCATCAATGGTTGGTGCCATATCATAGATTGGTTAAAGAGTTCCTGAAAAGACATAGAGAAAGGATTCCCCAAAGCAGTAAAGCACAGGTTAATTTTGAAAAAGAGGAGGGACAGAAAAATTTATATTCTCAACAGTTCAGAGCTGGAATGAAACTACAGGATCATCTATCCTAGAATGGTAAGTGACAATTCTCCCCTGTTCTTGCCCAAGACACACTTTGCTAATCAATGCTTGCACCCTTCTCTCTGGGTCTGGGTGTAACTTCAGAATCCTTTTGTCACAGTGTTCTGAGTAGCCACTACCAACTGATTGATGCATGAGACTTTTTTGCCAATCCTGAAATTGTTCAGCTTCCTTATTTTACAAGTTGCAGAAGCCAGAGCCAAGATAGATTTGCAACAAATAGAGCTGAAGTCCAGTTTCATAATCTTAGATACATACCCATTTTCAGAACATCATATGACTTTTCACAGATAGATCTAGTATAAGGCTAATAACAGAGATGTGTTCTTCGTGAGGGTATTTTAGGCTTGGAAATAAAGGAAGGTAGGCATGAGTGGTAGGGACTGAAGTGGTGAAACTGTAAAAGGAGGTGGAGGCCATATCTATGGTCATCATCCACTTGATAATTTATCTCTATAGTTACATTAGCTTAGAGTGGTAGGGATGGAGGGACTTGGTTTGATTAAAGGAGAGAAACAAGAAACAAGAAATGTAGCCCTTAATACAGCAAGAATTTTACTTATGTTTTAAACATCTTTTCAACTAGTTAGGATAAACTCTGAAGGTAAATACAGAACAGAAAATTTTAAGGTAATTGATCTGGGGAATAATGAAATTGGATGATCCCTAACTTAAGTCCTTTGCCCCTGCTTCAAGACTTCAGATTAGGGAGAAATGAAGTTTGGATTAGGAGTCCCTGCTGCGTTGGCAATGGTAGACATATCATCACCTCCTGGACCCCAAGATGACCTCTAATAAGTGGCAGAGTCAGGATTCAAATTTCTAATGCTATACTAAATCTCATGAAAGCACGGGCATGTCTGAAGAAAGAATGGGTTGCTAACGGTCAAGGAACAGGCAGGAGGCACAGGGAGCAATTTTGAGAAATCTGAGGGGGAGAGGGTCTTCATGCTGTTCCTCTAAGGATTGTACACCTGGGCTCGGGCCTCTGAGCACATCTTAAGAAGGACCACTGCCTCAGTTAAACTACCTCTCAGCATAAGGTCAGCATGGAGGGGAAGGGAGGTGTTGAGAACATATTGTCCTGAAATGTGTGTATATATGTATGTATGTATGTGTGTGTGTGTGTGGTGTGTGTGTGTATGTGTGGGGTGTGTGTGGGGGGGTGTGTGTGTGTATGTGTATAATTATAGTACAGGACGAAAAAAACTACAAATTAGTATTTGTATAAGGACTCAGAGAGCAGAACAGTCACTCAAGAATCCAGACCGGGCACATGTACATTCCTATCGTACCTTTCTACCTAACCCCCAACTCGACTCTGTGCACCTCCCTGGAAAAGGCCAGCTCCCCCCGAGGACACATGTACAGCCTCTGTCTTGATAACCAATCACCCTGTAAAAAGTAACATGGAGTCCAGAGCCAGCTGCTGCTCAGACCTAGGATTGGCCTGCTTAGAGCACCATTCTGGAGAGCAAAGATCTCACTAAAATGACAAAAAGAACTAGAAGAAATTTGGAAAATCAAAAGAACTAAAACAAAACCTCACAAGTTTTCAAAGGGGTAGGTTGTTTCACAATTTCTGTGAAAACCTGCTTGGCTTCAGGCCTCACCCAGTCCATCTGGGATGCCGGGCTTTGCCTCCATAGACAACCATTTGGATAATTTCGGGGTGGAAAGATCTTCTGGGAGCTTAAAGAAAGCTGAGCCCCAGAGCGGAGAGTGACCCAGGACGCCCAGCCCATCATAGCCACCAGTAAATGGGAGCCTCTGAACTCCCATTCTTGACAGTCATTTCCTCTTTTTCAGCACAAGTGGTCTGAAAACCAGGGTTGGAACTATTAGTCTATGTTCCAAGGTTGTTGTGAAGATATGTTAAAGCAGTGTCTTTAACCACCCCACCTTTCCACCCCCACAAGCAGCCTAAAGCTATACCTTTAACTGTTTTTTCTCCCATCTCTGACTCACTTTACCCAATCCCCTTCTCCTGCTCCAAGAAATTTCCTCTCACAATAACTGCCTGCACCAAATTCTTGTCCCCGGTGGTGCTTTTAGAAGAACTCCAACTAAGACAAAGAGCAACTTAAGTTTTCTTCATCTCCTTCCCACTATAAAGCTCCCATCTTCACAACAAGAAGAAAGCTGAACAAACTAAAAATCAACACCTCTTCTTAGATCCATCAGAGAATTAGGGTCGCGGAGCAAACTGCTACCCTGAAAATGGGAGAGACAGATGATGAATACAGAGAATCACAGCTTATCAGAGCTAAATGCCCAGGAGCAGGAGCCACCACTGGAACCAGTTTCGGTAGGAAAAATTTTAAACTGTGTTACTGGCCAATTGCTGGAGGCTCAGTGAGGCAAAGCTTGAGAATTAAAAAATCGGGGTCTTAAGGGGGTTCTCACCCATTTGTGAGTTTTCCCTCCAGAAGCACCACCAGATTTTCACTATAAAGATGGAGAAAAATCTTCCTGTGCTCCTGACCAGAAGAGGAGAAAAATAACCATGTTTTAAAAACACTCAGAACTCTCTGTTCTTAACAAGGTCTGCCCTCAAGGAAAACTATTTTGCGGGAGCATAACACACTTGGGTATTACAAAAGTATAACTGACCTGGGGGATGGGAACGACCCCACTCCTTCCCATGTGTGCCTCCCTTTCTACCTGGTAATGAAGACAAAGTCCACCATGCTTACAGTGACAAGAGAGGAGAGCAGGGCATATGCTCAAGGTGGCAGGGCCATCTCTGTTCTTCTCTGAAAGAGGAACCAGGTCTCACACAGGTCAGACTAATTCTCTACTCCTCTCATAATAGCTGTGAGAGGAATAAAGAATTCTATCAGCCATCCAGATTTCTCCACACACAATTAGAATCACTTAACCACCAAGCCATGGGAGAGATTTTAAAGATTCTCTAAGTTCCATTCTTTACTTTCTTGCTTTGTAATGGTTAACATTTGAATTATAAG